GGGCATGCTATAGCTTGACTTTAGTCCCAATATTCAGGAAGCAGAGGTAGGGGAATCTCTGTGAGTTTCAGGTTGGCCAGGGCTACATCGTAAGACCCTCAAAAAAACCAAAATAAATGAAATAAAAATAAAAAAAAATAAATCTTTCAGTTTTGCTGTGTTTGAAAATATTCGTGATAAACTGTTGGGAGGGGGCGTTTAAAATGAACTTTAATTCACATTTTTATTTCCCTCCTCTTGCAATTTTTCATATTTCTTAAGCTTCCCTTTGATTGCTAAAGTTGCCAGCTCCGGAGCAATTACTTTCTGCAAACAAGTTGTCAGAAGCCTTGCATGAATTTTAGACCTAATTTAATTCACCATTTACTTGCTTATGGAAAAAAAAAAACTTAATTTCTGCAAACCGAATCAACTCTTGATATACTGGGGGTACAGCCTCTTTAAATAGCAGACTGTCAACAGCTAAGCCAGTGTCCTGGGGACAGTCAATGAGTCGGCAGGCAGTCTGTAGACAGGCTGGCTGCATCAGCAAATAGAAGGCCTGCGTCAAGGTACGAGTCCCAAAGCAAGGCTGAGGAGGAAATGACTTCCTGAGCATTTTCCAGATGAGACAATCTGCAAGGAAGGCCTTGCAGAAAGGAGAAGGGAGAGACAGCCCTGGACCACAGGTGGGTGGCAGGCAGAGGTTTTGATGCCTCTAAGACCTCAGGGACAGACAGATTGTCCTCATGGACATCACAGGTGGCCAACCTACTGGTTCTCCTTAGGAGCTTTCTGCCAGTCTCTTGGACCCAGGCAGACAGTCAACAATAAAGGTCACAGTTTCACCCACCTCCAAGTCAGATAGGAAGGCAGGGCTTGGGAGAGGAGGTTGGGTTAATCCCGATGTGCTTGGAGACACTGAGTTGGCCCAAGGGAAAGCCAAGACCAGCAAGGGCTGTCAGCCAGGACTAACCCAGCCAACAGCCAGAACCATCTACCTCTGGATTCCCGAGGCCACCTGCTCTCTTTGTTTAAGCCATTTTCAGTTACTGCTGGTAGCTGATAGGGTTCTAATGTTTTCACTGTAGAGAAAAGGAAAAGCCAGACAAGATTTGAACTCATGTCTTGATTTGAGGTGGAAGTGCCTTATCCCCAGAGGTGGGAAAGGGGTCCACAGGGGCAGTTCCCCCCAGGGTCAGTGAGCAAACACGTGCCTCCATCTTGTCCTGTTTTTCTAAACTGGCAGTACTGTTACTTTCTAAGGCTGCTGGGCAGCTTAACCCCTCCATAATTTCTTTGAAAAGATACAGATTTGTTACCATTGAAACTTCATTTTCCCAAGTGAAATCCCATTTAGATACATTTATGGAGCCATCGCCTCCAGCTCAGCCGGATGGAAGTGTACATGGATTAAAATAATGAACAAACGACCAGCTTTCAACAACTAATCTCACCGAATAACTCACCCTTCTGGTAAAATATTTACTCTGCTCTTTAAAACCTTTCAAATCAACCCACACTCAGGAGGCCTTATGTTACTGGGTGTCTTTTTGTGGCTTAAGGGTCAAGTAATTTTTTTTTTTTTTTTTTAATAAGAGGCAGATTGATTTGGTGTGAGTCTCATCTTGGCAGGGTGAGGCCTCTTGGCCCTTGGCCCTCAGCTCCTTGGGCTGAGGCAGACTCTGGGTTCAGAGGGCCAGTGAGGTCGAGCTCTTGCCTAGGGCTCTGCGTTCCTGGCAATTAAGAATCAGTTTTTTGTTCAATGACCTCAGACTGGTCTGGGCCAGGGTGACTAACAGGAGTAGGTTCGGGGAGCACTGTCCTCCCTCTCTATGCTGAGGAAATAACATTAAAAAATGACCAACTGGAGGAATTATTAAAAATATGGATACCTGGGGTGGGAAGATGGCTCTTGACATGCAAACGTGAGGTCCTGAGTTCAAATCTTCAGGGCACACATAAAAGCCCCCCCACCCCCCCATGGTGGGGAATGCCCTGGAAGCTTTCCTACCGGCTAGCCAGGCGTATGCAGCTGAGAAGCCCATTTCAAACGAGGTGGAAGGTGAAGGCTGACACCCGAGGTTGTCCCCTGACCTCCACATATGCACTATCATACACACAGATTTCAGAATGGTATGAGGGTGGCAAGGTGGCTCAGCAGGTAAAGGCACCTGCTCCTCACGCCTGACGCTTCTCACGCCTGCTGACCCGAGTTCCATCCCCGGGACCCACACAGTGGAAGGAGAGGACTCCCCCTAGTTGCCCTCTGACCTCCACGTGCACCATGGTGTCCGAGCCCACACACATACGCACGTGCAGAAAATAAAATAAATAAAAGCCTTTAAAATAAATAATAAAAGCCTTTAAAAATACTTATGCAGCTACTCAGGGCCTGCCTCACGTGCTGTGTACCGGGAACAGTAAACATGGGCCTGCGGCTCTGAGGACATCAAGGAGAGGGGAGAGGTGGTGTAATGGCGCAATGTGGCCCTTCTGGACATGACATGCAGCTGTGGGGACCTGCCCGAGACCCAGCCGGGGTGGGAGTCGAGCTTTTGTGGCTCTCTCCTGGCAACTGATGGCTGCTGAGAGGAAGGGAGTCGCTTTTCTTCCCAGGTGTGGCTGCTGGTAGGTTTGGCCACACCTATGCAGCCGGAGCCGATAGAACTCAGCAAGCAAGTGATACGGATGGAGGACTTGAAGGTGGGAGGGACATGCTTTGGGGGTGAAGGAAGGAGTTGGGGGGGGGGGGACGGGGAGATATAATTAAGAGGCATTGGCTGCACACATAAAACTATATGAAAAAAGACATGGAAGTGCCGCACATAAATCAACACCTGAACCCTCAGTAGCGAGACAGCTCAAGGCCAGTGCGTTCAACTGAAGGGAAAAAAAAGGCAAAACTGGCCTTCTGAATCTAAATTTCAAGAGCTACTCTGCCTTGTGGGGCTGATTCTGGAAGAGGCTGCAGGACAGACTGACTTCTCTGTGCACAGAGGTGAGGGATGGCAGAGGGTGCTGTCCAGCCAGACAGCTGTCACGGCACATGGCTCTGACCTCAGAGGACTCAGACCCTTGGGTTCCTTTTGCAAAGATCGTATAAAAACCTAACTCAATGTCATCGTGTGGATTAAAGCAAACAGAGGGAAGGAAACCCTCGCCCAGGCATGGCGTCTCTAAATAAACCTTTCCAGGCTGGAGTGCTCAGTGGGTAAAAGCCTGCCAGGGAAGCCCATTGACCCGAGTTTCACAGCTGAAACTCAAGTGGAGGCCAACAGACTCACAGATATCCCCAGGCCTCTACACAGGGCATGGCACCTGCACTCATATCCACACATACAAGAACCACCACCCTTAAAAAGGTGCTAAAAAACAATAACCTTTGCCAGGTTCTACGCAGAGATGGGGCAATCAGAGCTGTTTCCTGCTCATTTTGGGTGCTAACACCAACATACTATCTAAATTCTTCCAGCATGTTTGGTCTGATTAAAAAGACATAAACACAAAAAAGCAGAACACAGTCATCTTTATGGAAAGCCTCTAACTTGCAAACAGGATGCTTATAAAGTTTGTTTCCTATGGACTGCCTGCCTTGGAGGATGCCATTGCTCTCAGTGCCCGAGGCAAGGTGGGATTCAAGGGGTTCTCAGAGGCCATCCAACCTTCAGCTCCCCAGGATCCTGCAGTGACCCAGGAGCGTAAGGGTTAGCTCTTCCCGAATGCTGCCTGGCTGGGTCGCTGGGTCCGTGATGGGGGCTAACAGGGATTCTGATGAGCAGAAGGGGAAGTCGAGGCTGCCTGAAATAGTTGGGGAGCAGGGGTTTCAATGCAGGGGTCTCTCCAGCTGACCCAGGTGGCGCAGGAAGATGGAGTCTGGCTGGCTAGGAGGCTGCCGGGGAGGCTTACCAGTGTCCTCAGTGCTGTCACACACCTACCTTCAGGCGTTCTCCTCTCAGGTGGAGGCTGGACAGGCGGCCGGTTTGTGAAGGCCAAGCCTTTGCTTCAAAGCTTGGAAAAGTAGCCCGGACACTTGAGATTTGTACCTGCACTGGGAGCCAGTGGAGCCTGTGGGTTGAGCTTAGGGTGGCTATTTCCCTGTACCCGCCTACCTGTTGTGAGATGGGAGGCAGGTGGGGAAGTCAAGCCCTCTTCCCTGCCAGAAGTGGTTTTGATTGGCTGTTTAGCACTGTGACTAAGCAGGACTCCGGCCTATTGTGAAGACTTTTTTTTTTTTTTTTTAAAGAGCACTAGTGTTTTGCTTGCATGCATGTGGGAGTGTCTGAGCCCCTGGAACTAGTTATAGACAGTTGTGAGTAACCATGTGGGTGCTAGGACTTGAACTCTGGTCCTCTGGAAGAGCAGCCATTGCTCTAACCACTGAGCAGTCTCTCCAGCTCCCTGAGAAACTTTTCTAGATCAAACGGGACCATAAATTTTTCCTCCCAGGCAGCCTCCAGGAACAAGTGTCCCTGGGGAAGTTTCCCAGAATTCTACCTGCACCCAGCAACGCCTTCTCTGGCTCCAGGTTTCCAGAGGCTTCAGTTGACAATCTAACTTGGCATCCACTTTCCCATCTGAAAACTGGGAACATACTGGACACAAGGACTCCCCAACAGCAGGGTTTCCAGCACCTTTTTCATGACAGGTGTTTATTGGTCGCGGCACCTGCGTGGAAGGCAGGCAAACAGCTTCCTGAACCACCCCACTGACTTCTAGTGACAAGCAGTCCTAAAGTTTCCATTTATAAAAAACAATTTCCTGCATGCAGGTTGCTGCTGGTCTGTCCCAGCCTGACAGTGGCTCACTGAGGTGCTTAACCTATAGTGCCATTCACTGGATAGGAATTCCTTTTTGAGAGCAAGCCCAGAAACAAAATTTTAGGAGCTTCTGTGACCCCCATGCTTCCTATAATTAAGAAATAGGACAAAGGTCTTTATAACCTGTCTGCAACACAAATGATAAAATGAATGCCCTACTTGTCAGGGTTTCCTCTACGAAGGACCACATCATTCTTCAACTTTTAATTATTCATGTTATTTTATTGTATGAAATCACTCTGTGGGGACAGTGACATAGATTGCCTTCCAGGTCATCAAAAGCGGCCTCCAGGCTAAGCCTCCAACACCAGAATTCCAAATGTAAAGAGTTTATTATCTATCTTCTTTTATCAACAATAGTATTCACTGTGCAAGAATTTAGACAAGAAACAGTTCAAGTAAAACAGTATTTCTTAAAACCCGCACTCCCCACAGTCGCTGAGCATGTCTCAGCCATGTGACTGGCGGTAGACTCATGGGTCTTTTGGTTTCTTCCCTTTCAGTCAGTGGGTTCTGACGTTCCATCAGATGGGCATTGAAGGCCCCACCAATGCTGCTAGCATCTCATGCAAAACTCTGATAGACACTTCGGCACAAACAATTATTAGATGTTCTCGGCCACTTGGAAAAATATTTGACACTCTAGTAGTGTCAGCTCAACAGTCACTTTGCACTGAAAGGGAATGAACCCTAAACATACACGTCTCACGGTCCGGCTTCTGCCAAGGGGAGGAGATACTAGTCACCTAAGTAAAAAGTATTCTGCCACTTCATCAAACAGCAGCTACCACGAAAGAACAGTGGGGAGAGGACTTCAGAAAAATTACCAAAAAGTCTGACAATTTTATGCAGAAACCGCCAAAGTTTTAGTGTTTAATAATTAAGAGAACCGACCAGGATGTGAAGATGCCAAGGTTGAGAAACTGGGGGATGGAGATAGAGGGTAGGGGGACACTCTACAGACTACGCAGGCTGTGATAAGAATGCACGCTTTATAAACCTGTCGACACATAGTAGTTGGTTGCACAAAGCAACTTGATTTTCTCTTGGCTTGGGAAAACGACGCTCTGGATTCAGTGTGAATTATCAGCAGCCTGTAGAAGAAGGAAACAGTCAACAGCATCAACGGCAGCAAAGAGGACACAGCGAGCCACCCCCGGATCTATCAAGAACAAATTCCACTGGAGTTATCTGCTGAATTACTCATGCTCTAGGTACGCTATTCTAAAATTCAAATTATTGATACTCTTAAGAAAATGCCACTGTGAATAAAGTTCACTTATGTGTGTCCCTCTATGTGGGTCTGTGCAGGTGAGTGCCGGGAGAGCAATGGATCCTTCGAAGGTGGAGCTGCAGTGGCGAGCAGCGTCATGTGAGTGCTGGGAACTAAACTTGGGTCCTCTGCAAGAACACATAAGCTCTAAGTAGCTGAGCCATCTCTGCAGCCATCTTCTTTAGCCATCTTAATTCAAAATTCTCTGAAACCACCTCTTATTTTCATTTCCTTGTGTTTCCCCATCAGTTGAATGCCTTCAATCCTACAGTCTTTTAGTTCTTGACTAATGGGATTTTCAGCCATAGTACAGCGAAACTCCCTAGCAGCTTCCAAGACCCACTGGACACTCTACCGCTCCTCTCTACTTAGGCCTGAGGATAACACGGCACATACCAACAGTTATGTGAGTATCTTACAGTGGGGCTGTTTATGTATCCCAACCCCCGTCTCGTCTCTTGGATTTCAGAACAACCTCTATTTTAGTCACTGAAAAGCTGGTTCCAGGCCATGTCCAGAAACTAAGAAGGGAGCTAAGGATTTTCCATTGTACATTATCTTGATGCGCTTCACAAAAAACTCTTGGTAAATTTCACTAAGAAATTAAGATGCAGCTGAGCGAGGTGGCACAGGCTTGTAATCCCAGCACTCTGGGATGCAGAGGCAGGTGGATCTCTTTGAGTTCGAGGCCAGCCTGGTCTACAAAGTGAGTCCAGGACAGCCAGAACTGCACAGAGAAACCCTGTCAAAAACAAAACAAAACAAAACAAAACTGTAAGTGCCCTTCCCCCACAAACACAACTGCAGGCTAAAAGTAAGAAATTCACTACACTAAGCAGTTTTGAGACTCCGTCATCGTCTGATATCTGAAATGATTTAGTGGAAATTTAATCCAGTCTAGAGTAAAGGAGTCAAATCTATAATAAAAGTCACAAAAGTCTTTAGGCTTTAACATAAATGTTCATGTTGGTGGCCTGAATTCCCTCCTATTTCCAAAGAGAAAATAATAAAACAATCTTCCAGTGATCAGGGCAGGGCACCAAAACCAAATGCCCTGAAATGACATCATCCAGTGGACCCCAGATCCCTGCTTAACAGCCAGAGAGACGTATCCAGGTATGTCCAATGCGGGGCCCAGGATACAATTCACAAAACTGTAAACTTACTTTAAAATCAAAGCTCAAGATGCTGAAGATGGTTCAGCAGTTAAGGGCACCTGTTGCTCTTTGCGAGGGCCCATTTTGATTCCTAGGACCCCCATGGTGGCAAGTCCTGTCTGTAATTCTAGTTCCAGCGATCTGATGCCTTCTTCGGGCCTCACATAGCACCAGAATTGCATGAGGTGCATATTCGAGCAAAACACTCATATGTAAATAAATTTAAAAAAAAAAATGAGTTTTGTCTTTTGTCACCAATTTCACTCTTTTTAAATGGGACCTTTGTAGCTGACAACATTTTGTTGCGATGTGTAAGGCTTGGACATACCTGGCAGTGACAGTTTTAAGTAACAAAAAATCGGAAATGTGAATTCTACCTAAAAAACTAGTGTTCAAATTTCAAAACTTGGGAGTCCATGGGTGGGTGTGCAGAGCCATGCCTGCTGAGAAATGACATGAAGAAAGCTATCAACCACATCAAAATAACACTTACAGCTGGGGACATCTTTAATCCCAGCTTCCAGGGAGAGGCAGGCAGATTACTGTGAGTTTGAGGCCAGCCTGATCTACAACGGGAGTCTAGGACAGCCAAGGCTATACAGAGAGATCCTGTCTCGAAAAAAACCAAAACAAAACCCAACAAAATCGCACTTATGGGCCACGGTCTGTGGTGTACGCTACCATACCGGTGCTCTCCCTGGACCTCAGCTCTTCTGGGCAGCAGTGGCAATCTTGTTTTCACCTTCCAGTTCTTCCACTCCAGCCTGGGTCATGAGGTCAGCGATGTTTTTCTCCAGATCGTCAATGCGACTGCTCATGTCATCGAGTGGCGTGCAGTTAAAGAGCCGCACACCAGCAACACCTCCCCTCCCCACTACCCTTCAGGCCCCTGCAGACTGGCTTACACAGCTGCTTCCCTAGTTTTGTTCTGGCTACAGTGACAGCCTGGCAGTCAGGGGTTCAGGGGACCTGGGTGAGTTCTCTTCCCTAAGCCTGAATTTCTTCATCGATCCCAGAGGACTCTCTACCCCACTGGTAAGGTTACAAAGTGGATTGGAGACTGAGGGACTCAATGAACATGCCCAGCCAACATGTACATGCAGTCCCTCTACTGGTGTTCCAGAGGGGGGCCCAACATGGACTTGGGTAGGCCACCTATGTTTCTGGCTCTTGGCACAGTCCTCCTTGGGAACACAATATAGCCAAGATCAATAAAGAAATTTCTAAGTGGGGCTGGAGAGATGGGTCAGCGGTTAAGAGCACTTGAGGCTCAGTGTGGTTCCCAGTACCTACACTGGGCAGCTCACAACCGCCTGTAACTCCAGCTCAAGGGGATCCAACGCCTCTGATCTCAGTCACTCACAGCACCCTCCTTACACATAATTAAAAAAAAAATTAAGCTTTTGTTAAAAAATAAGGGGATTTCTAAATGACTAACTGAAGTCGGTTTGCAAACCACCCACTCACCCCCCCCCCACAGTTAAGAAGCTGCCTCCGAACCATCAAAAGGATATTCCTTCCGATGATCTGGTCCGACATGATCTGAAACTTGTCTTGCATCTGCTGTAAGAGCGTCTCCACCTAAGAGAAACCAGAACAAGTCAGCCGTTTCCAGCCTATCCCGAGACCCCTTTCCTGGAACGCGAGTAGGGAGACGGGTTGGGGGGACGCTCGGCAGGTGTGCGAGGCCTTCAGTAAGGACCAGCCAGGTCGGGTTCGGTGTTCCCGATGGTCAGGTCCGTGGGGTCCGGGGGGGGTCAAGGGAGGGCGAGCCCCGCAGGTGCGCGGGCCGAGGTCGCTGGCCACACCCCACGCCAGGGCCGAGAGCGGCCACGGAGTGTCGGGGCCCATGTGAGGCTGCCGCTTACCACCAAGGTGATGTCCTGCATGGTCTTGGGGTCCGTCTCGGCCATCTCACCGGTGCCCAGCTTGGCGGCGATGTCTCGGAACCGTCACCTACACTTCGGTTTCTTGGCGCAGACGCCCCAAAGCCGCCAGTTCTCGCGACAACATAGTCGCGGGGCCGCGAGGCACTGTGGGTGCTGTAGTTTCCGCCACTCACCGGAAGAGATTAGGAACCTTAGAGCGGCCAGTCTGCGTATAGGCTCCGCCCCTCGCTCTTAGCTCCTCCTTCATCCCCGCCCAGCTCCACCCCGCACGCAGGGATGAGCAGGAGAGAAAAGCCGGAAGTGGGCCAAGATTACGGGGATCAGCGACGACCTCATCTCTGGATGTAACCAGACCTTGCAAGATGATTCAGAGGGTAAAGAAGTGAACTCAAGCTTGACAATGTGAGTTCGATCCCTGTTGGAAGAAGTGCCCGGCCTCCCAGAAATTGATCTGTCCTGCACATGTGCTGTGAGATGCATGTACATAACTCATATACATACACACAAAATAAATAAGATGTAATAATAATAGTAAAAAAACATTTGGAGGCTGGGGAGACGGCTCAGCGGTTAAAAGCACTGACTGTTCGTCCGGAGGTCCCAGATTCAATTCCCAGCACCCACATGGTGGCTTACATCTGTCCGTAATTCCAGTTACAGGGAACCCAACACCCTCACACAGACATATGTGCAGGCAAAACACCAATGCACACAAAACGAAAATAAATAAATTATAAAAACAACACACACAAAAAAACCCCAAACCAAACCAAAACAAAAACCCAAACCCAAACATTAAAGTTTGAGGGTACATTGACTGGATGCCTGCTCTTCACCAAGAACCAGTTTTATATTCTAGAAGACATGGCCCAGGTCTGTAATCCTACTTTCTTGGGAGACTGAACCAAGAGGATCCTGTGTTCAAGGCCTGCTTGGAAAAACTTAGTGAGAAACTGTCTCAAAGACAAAAACAAAACAAGAACCTAACAAGCAAAAAGAGGAGGGAATGGAATGTACCCAGTGGCCAACGCTTGCCTAGCGCAAAAAGGCCAGCACCCTAAAAACAAAATAAAACAGCTCAGCCTATCTCCCAGACCCCAGAGGGGCTTGCAGCACAATAGAGCCAGTTTGCCAGTGTTTTCATGGGATGTAAGTGGACTCTAACCCAGCTTTCTCTTAGTGATATGGCTGCCTGGTGCTAAGTGGGGCAGGTTACATTGGTGTAAAAGAGGGAACAGTGTGAGGAAAGAGAGAGAACTGGGATGCAGAGGTGCAGATCTGAGTGTGGGGCGGTGTCGCTGGTACTTTCCAGGTTCCTCAGGGAGATGTCCTGAGATGGCTTTCAGATGAAACCATTTTTAGTGACGCGTGCCGCTCACAGTGGAGAAAACTGGCTTAGGAGGTTGTGGTAGTTGGAATAAAAATGGCCCCACAGGCCCACAGGGACTGGCACTATTGGGAGGTGTGACCTTGTTGAAGAACTGCAACAGGAGGGGGTGGGCGTTGAGGTCTCAGAAGCTCAAGCCTGGCTAGTGGGTCACCGTCACCTCTTGCTGACTGCAGATCCAGATGTAGAATTCCAGCACAGTGCCTGCTCATGCCGCCATGCTTCCCGCCGTGAGGAATGGACTAAACCTCTGAACTGTAAGCCAGCCCCAGTTAAATGTTTTCCTTTATGAGAGTTGCCGTGGTCATGGTGTCTCTTCACAGCACTAAAACCCTAACTAAGACAGGGATCCAATGGAGGGATTTTTTTTTTTTTTTTTATGTTTATGGACTGGGGTGGGGGTTGGCCTGAGTCTAGCAAATTATCGAAGGTATTCCATGGGATGTAAAGTCCTCTTGTCCCACCCTACCTTGGGGCTGTTACAGGGAGTTTAGCAGCTTAGGGAGGGTACTAGCATGACAGGAGGAGTGGCAGATGCCCTCTGCAGAGCCAGCACCAGCTGGAGTTCTTCACAGTGAATTGTACAGAAACAAAGTTACAGGCCAGGAGACAGTTTACTAAAGGAGAGAAACAGAGAACTCCAAAGTCCCACCAGGCCCAGGCCAAGGTCCAGCTCCCAGAGGGACCAGGTCTGTGAGCTTCTGTAAGTCATTTACTCACTGTGTGGTTCTCCACAGTCTGCTCCCTAAAGGCAGCAGTATCTGGGAAAGTCTCCAGAATTCTGCTTTCTCTTGAGTTAGGACCCTAACTCTTGGCTTGGGGTTGTGTCTCCACAATGGGCTAGGAAATTTCCCTGACTATTCATCTGCATGACCCAGCAACCCACAAACCAGATCTCAGAGGACTGTATTTTGGGGGTGGGAGTGCGGTCACTCCAGTTTGAGTTTAGAGGAAGACTTAAATCCCATTAGCGTTGGTAACTGAGGTGGATCAGGCTTGGCCAGGGAAGTGTGTGGCTCAGTCATCTTCCCCAGCTGTCATCTGACCACATCCTTAACAGTCCTCTCCTGCTTTTGCTCAACCCCAATTCATACCGAGGACTTTCTTCCCATGTTAAATATGCAAAACTTGTGTGTATGTGCTCTCTCTCAATCTCTCTCTCTCTCTCTCTCTCTCTCTCTCTTTCTCTCTCTTTCTTTTTTCTCCGAGACAGGGTTTCTCTATGTAGCTCTGGCTGTCCTGCAACTCACTCTGTACACCAGGCTGGCCTCCAACTCATATTTGTAACTCTATTTCCAAATGTCACATTCTGACCTTACCTGGGGATACAATCTCACCTCAAAAAATTGGTAAGGGACCACCTCTTTAATTTGTACTGTGTGAGCTCTTGCATAAGGAGTTCTCACAAACCTTTGACTTCAGTTTGTAAGTGGCCAAGGCCAACTTCAACCTCTGGCTACAGATTTCTGACCCAACTTCTTAGTGTAGATATCTGCGCTAGGGTTTCTACTGAGGTCTATCCTACAACCATGAGCAAGTCCAAACATCTATGAACTAGTGCTCAGACTAGAAGATGATTGCTTTTCGCTTCTTTTTAAAAAAGGTTTATTTTACTTTGAATTATGTGTGTGTAGGAGTACAGGAGCCCCCAGAATCCAGGAGAGGGTGTTGGATCCCTGGAGCTGGAGTTACAGGCAGTTGTGAACAGCCCAATGTGGGTGCTGGGGATCAGACTCCGGTCCTCCACAAGAGCAGCAAGTGTTCCTAACCATGAGTCAGCTCTCTAGCCCCTGCTTCCTCCTTTCTTTCCTTCCTCCTTCTTCTGGTAGGAGACTTGTGGCTGTTGTTTTTTGGTTCTGTTTTTTTTTTTTTTTTTTGTTCTTCCTGATTGAATTTTTCTTCATATAAAGCGCAAACTTGACACTCTTAGTGATGGCTTAGCTTTCTTACACTTAAAGAGAAAGACAGATGCACTGTCTGGTGTGATGAACAGCTGCTTTTCACAAAAACCTCTCTACACTCAGGGCTGATGCAGTCTTTGTGGGGGCTGACATGGAGCCCAGATGAATTTTGTTCCGTTAATGAAGCAGCTGCGAATATGCAAGGAGCCAGGAATTGACCTTGTGCTGAAGTTTGGATCAATCTCATATTTAAGCTTTCCTTTCATGCTGAAGCCAGCTTACCTCCTTCTAGCAATTTTTAAAGCTTTTCCTAGATTACTTTTAAGTTGTAATTCCCTTCCCCATGTTCAATTTGGCTTTACAAGAGCTTTTATGGTGGCATTTGGTTAATGCTGTGGCAGTCTTGACACTGCTGTCTTGGATCTAAGTAAAGGAAGACCTTATTATGCAGAATAGTTTTTGTTGTTTTCTTCAGTCATGGGGCTTGAACCTAGAGCCCTGAATGTGACAGGTAAGTGCTGTATCCCTGAGCTATATTCCCAGTCCCTTAAAAAACTATATTTGTTTAAGTTTTTATTTTATTTTATTTTATTTTATTTTATTTTATTTTATTTTATTTTATTTTATTTTATTTTAT